CGTGCGTGAGCATTCACTATCTTCCGTACAGAACATCCAAAGCTAGTGATAGTGCCTTCAACTTTAGAACACTTCTACTTGAAACGGCAACGTCTCCCAGCAGTCGCTCTCGACATGTCTACACGCATGAACTCAAAATTTATTTACTTTGACAAAACGTTCGGAAATCGGCTAGAAGAACTATATTAACGACTGTCACTAGAACGATGCCTGGACGAGAAGAAAACTCTAGCGACACAGTTAGCACCCGCTGCCATAATTCAAGTGAGTTCGCTTATGTTTACATGAGCGGACCAGGATATACGGCTAACGTTATCGGAGAAGTAGTTCATTTAATCAAATGTAATCCTGTGGAAGTCTCAGTAAGGCGATCCAGTTGATGTTACTCAGAGTTGCCAGTATCTTGAAAGAATAAAAGCCTTTTCGTCGCACCTCGCACAAAGCTACTCCAGACACATGGAATAGAAGTCACATGCAACATATTCATGAGATCGATGTTCCGACTTCAGGAGGGCTAGTATGCTCTAACACCCACAATTATATGCATACCAGCTCCAGACCGTATCGAATTTTCCACCTCAGGGAACTATAAATACACAACACCAGTGGGACTAGCGACTGGCGTTATCTATGATTGTCAGGAAGTAGAAAGAATGAGACAACAGATAATGTACTCGAATGAAAGAACAGCCATCACAAATGTCATGGCCAGAGACATGGCCGGTCAACAGCCGAATATGCAAGGTCTATCGCTGCAAGGGATGCTAGATGACGTATTCATGAAAAATATCCGCGTAAGCCTCCTTCAGAAAGCTTGGGGAAAATTTGCCATTTTTGACAACATAGTGGCAGGCCTAATTGGAATCATGGTTTTGTGCAAAGCAGTAAAATGGGTGATCAATACTCTTTTCCATGGAAAGATCTTGTACAATTTTTACGGGCTCAGTGGCTATTTACTAGGAGCGTTATGGGATAGCGTTACAACTTACTTTATACAGCGAAAAGCCAAAGAACGTCTGCCAGAGCATGTCGTGCACAACAATCACTCAACTTGCCGGACAATAAGATTGGAGAAAGAATTACCACAAATAGATGCTCCCCTAACAACCCGGCAAAGTGACTCTCCGCTTAGAAGAGCACCGTCGGCACCCGCACTGCCAGCAAGAGAAAATCAATCCGGAGAAGAATCAAATATTTTTCAGGTTTATCCAGCTAAAACATTGAAGAAATACCTGAACACCTCACTGGTTTGAAGTTGAATCCGTCTGCCTCGCATGCGGACAACAACCAATAAAATTACTACCATCATTCCTTTTTTTCAGACTAAATTTCTTTCTAATTAAACGCAGATTCCTTTATCAATTAGCTACTCAAAAGGACTGGTTCCCTCAGCCTATCAAGACAAGCGAGGCCTGGGATGTCGCGACCAGCGTGAATGCTAGAAGGACTAGGTTCATGCGAAGCGATCGACGACTGGCGCCAGCGAAGCAGCTAAAACGTGCATGATAACCAAAACCGATCAGATCAATCAGATTGACAGGAAAGGAAGCCATTGTATAAGCGATGCGTTGTGGTAATTGCTGGTCGGCTAAACTCCTCTTCTGTAGCTTTCTTTATTTCAATTTTCTTCATTTTCTTATTTTTACTATTGGTTATTAATGCTGTTATACTTGTTACTTTGTATTATAACTGATAATCACGTTAAAATATTATACCGTTTCTCTGTAATAAAGATTCAATTACCCAAGTTTGAGGTATACTCAGGCTCTCACGCATTCGACGTTCGTCACAACGATACGATTTATTAGCAGAAATATAGAAATGTTATCTCTTCTATTTTTTTGTTACAAGATGTTCATTTGAAACCTGAATATACTGGCAGAAACTCATATTTTCTTTTTCGATGATGAATATGAATTTTTTTCTTTTTGAAAAATCATAAGATAAAATGATAAATGTGCAAAAATTTAATAGCAATAATATTTTGGTAAAATCCAATTGTTCTGCAAAGGAATGTTTTTTTTTGATTCAATGATTTAAATTTTTTTTGACTTTGTTTTGCTTTCTTTTTTTTTCCTTTTTACTGCTTCTATAGGATAAGACAAAAGCTGAATAGATTTGAAACCGGAGGAAAAAACGGCTCAATACACAAAATGCATTACCAAGTGGTCGAAAACGTAAAAAAAAAAGCAAACTTGATAAACATACATTTCAGGTAGAACGTAAAAGTTTTATGTCATATATACTAAAAAAGTAGAAAGGAAAAAGTAATAATATCTGCTGATTTGACTTTTCTCTTTTTTCTCGTTCCCTCTCAAAGTTTTATATTTGAAAAAAATATGTTAATTTATATTTAGCAAAAAAAAAAGAAAAAAAAAAGATTTTGCTGGTTCGCAGTTTTTTCAGGTGTTCCAGTGCTGCTGCATAATTGGAAGAACAAAGATCAATTTTTTTTTTGTTTAAAATATATAAAAGCCTAGTTGTTCATTAGTGGTTGTTGTTGTCTTCGCCGTCGTCTTCGTTGTTGCTGTTGTTGTTGGTGTTGGTGTTGTTGTTGTCTTGGTGGTGGCGATGATGGTGATAGTGGTGGTTATGTTCTTCGTCGACGTTTAACATTGGTCGTCAAAGATTTTTTTGGATTATAACAAAACAAAACAAAGCAAAACGAAACGAAACAAAACAACGACAACAACAGCTAAGAGAAAGGTAAGAAGCAAGAAAAACGAGGGAGTTAAATTGTTCTAAGTGAAAATAAAATTTCAAAAATACATATTTTATTCATTTGTTTGTTTCCTTTTGCCATTCGCTAAACGACTCACTGAAATTTGATGTTGCCAAGCAGTCTAAAAGAAAAAAAAAAGAAGAAACAAAGAAAGTTTTTCATCTTTTTTCTTTCTTTTTTGGGCGCTATTACATTGACGAGGTTACGGTGAATTGTAGAATTTTTGGCCAAAGTTTAAGAATGGCCAGTTATTTAGCATCAGTTTTCACTAAAATTCTACTACAATATTTGGTCGGTTCGGATAGCGGTAGGGATGCTG